AAATTTAAATAATTTTAATACATACAAACTAAGTTAAAATAAAAATAGATTTTACTTACTAATTTTGATAAAATAACATTGAGCTCAATCAAATAGATATTGACAGTAAAATGACAGTTCACAACAATTTTCAATTTAAGAAAAAATTAAAAGATGTAAAACGTATTAAATAAAAATAATTTTGGCAGCAACAAAATAGATTTCAAATAGCATTTTTTATTATTTTGATTTAAAAATATATTTTCTTATATTATTCCTTAATGCATTAGAGTAAAAATTGGAATATGAGCAAATCAAACCAAATTAACAAATTAAATACATGTTGCATCCTGGAATATTTACTGCGATAAAGAAATATTAAGTTTAATGTCTTAGTTTTGTATGAAGATCCATCACACAATTAGATAAAGAAAAATGTGTAATATTTATAAGAGACACTAGAGTTTTTATGTGGAAACCCTAAAAAGAGGGAAAAACAATGAGGCCAAGACCCGTTTGAATGAATCCAATATTTTTTTTTTTTTTGAATGAATCCACTAGTGTTTGCAATTGTTTACAAATGAGTCACTTCCCTGGGGGGAAGGCCTTGGTTTGATGTAGCAAACATGCATCATATTGAATGCATTACATGGTGGAAATTGGAAGAATCAATATTGACATGTTCTTTTGGTCGATAGGACCATAGTCGGTGGGCGACAGAGGTTAAAAAGATTGTGGTTGGGTGACGATAGTCAAAAGGGCCTTAGTCGGCAGACGACATAGGTCGAAAAGATCTTAGTTTGGCGATGGAGGTTGGAAGGACCATAGTCTGGCAACTGAGGTCGGAAGGTTCGTAGTCAGAAGACGACAGTGGTAAGAAAGACCATTGTCTCACTATGGAGGTCGGAAGGACTGTATTTGGCAGGCGATGAAGGTCAAAAAGATCGTTGTCTAGCGATGGAGGTCAACAAAATCATAGTATAGAGATTGAGGTCAGAAGAACCATAGTTGGTGAGCTATAGTGGTCAAAAAGACCATTGTCTGACGATGGAGGTCAAAAGGACGTAGTCGATGGTTGAATGAGGTTAGAAAGGCTATTATCTAGCGACAGAGATTGGAAGGATCATAGTCGATGGTTCGGTAGAAGTACAACATCAATCGACAACAGGGCAAAAGTCTGGCATCAGTTTGTGATTCGACGATGGTCGAGGAGTTTGGTGGCAAGAAACTCTTTTTTCTCTCTCATCCTTTTCTTTCTTACTTGGGTCTCCTTTCAATGAAAAATGAGGGGTCTATTTATAGTTTTCTTAGAGCTGCATGACCAGTAAATATGACAGAGATTAATGATATGTTGGGAGTGGTTTGAATGGACGACCGATATTTATCCCTTGATTATGGATCGTTTACTAATCATTTGAATGTCTTAATGATATCATAATTCAATGATATTAGGTTCATTGGATTTGTCTCGTCGAGCCGCTTGATTTGGCTATAAGCATGCCATGTTTGGAAACTATTTGGCCATCCAATTTATAGTTTAAACCTTCCAAATGCATTTCGTCCCATTTGGGCTCGGATTGAGTCGAATTTGGTGTCTTTAGGTTCGTCTTTTCAAGAGGTTCAATTCAACTATTAAGTTTGCTGAATTTGGAGTTTAGATGTTCCCAAATTTAATTTCCGAAGCTTTCAACTCAATTTTATCTTGAAATTCGTGTCCTATGAAGATAATTTTTTTTTTGATATATCACCTATGAAAGTTTATAACACGCTTAATCTTATAAAACCTCAAAGCATGCATCTAAAGCACTAATGCACCTCTCTTGATCCATTTAATATGCTTTTTCATGATCATGTTAGCATGGAAGTAGATGTGCACGCTATGTAATCCATAAAGCATGTTGACTTGAATAACTATGGATCTAATGCTTGTGAAACGCTTAGTATATATACATAAATAGAATATTTAATTATATGCTTATCATCATCAAATTCAAAATGATAAAGCTTGAGGCTGATGACGCTTACACAGTGTCCCGGTGTATTCTCTATTTGATGCTCATTTACTTTATTACTTTAATTAATAACTCAACCCAACAACCCGACTTAAAAAATTTGGGTTCATGTCAACCCGTTTAACAGATGGGTTGGACTTGGGTTCCAAATTTTGACCCGTTTGTAAAATCAGGTTAGGTCCGAGTCAACTTGCTAACTTGATTTTGACTTGGTTTGACCCAAGTCCGCTTTGGACATCGCGCTTGTGGCGCTTGCACTCGTAGTCTCGAAGGCGTGCATGCGGCCCACCCATAGTCTTGCTCCCACATGCACAATCCGGCCCTCGCCCAATTGCCCACAATATTTGTAATATCAAAAATCTGCTCCAGGATCATCCAGGACGATCTGGATCGTCCTGGGACGATCAGTGGAAATTTTGCTCCAGAATGTGCCCAGTTTTGCTTCAGGTGATTTTCTGTACACATCGTCCAGGCCGATTTGGACATCGTCCAGGCCGATCGGCACTGTAGAAAATATCGGCCTGAGAATAGTTCTGGGAACCGTCCAGGACGGTCGGGACGATCGATTTTTGGTCTGATCGTCCTGGGACGATCTGGCGATCGGCCGGGCCGATCTGTGTATTATAAAGCTGATTTCAGTCGTTTTGAAGAGAGAGAAAAATCAAAATAAAAAACAAAAATATCTGAGGAGAGAGAAAGTCGAGGGCATTTTGGCAAAAGTTGATTTTCGGACGACGCGGAGCCGTTTTCGTCCGAAGTGACTGTTCAGGATTTTGCTGTACGCAAGGTAAGGCACATTCCGCCTTTCTCAATTTTCAGAACCGTCGCGTTTGGCGGTATTTTCTGTCCGGATTTCGTTTCCGTTACTGTTTTTCGTCTGTATCTTTTGATCGGTTCAGTTTTTACCGCGTAACTTTCTGTATATTGTTGACGTGCCGAGTGTGCACATTTTGGTTATTTTCCGAAGATTTTTGTCCGGGTATTTTTGATTCGGCGGAGTTTTTCGTAGACTACATTTTTCTGTGAAATTGTAAATTGTCTGTGCAGTAGAATAAATGTTCTGGAATGTGATTATCTATATTCTGTGCGAATTTGGTAAATTTTCTTTGCAGGAAATTTTGTGTAAATTCTGTCTACTGCCGTTGTGCTGCCCGATTTTTGTCTGATTTCTGAATTGCCCGGATTTCTTCTGAATTGAAATGCTATGTGTATAAGCTATAAAAAGGGAGCTATAAGGGGCCTGGATCCTATGAGATTCAGTTAGTGTCTGGGAAATCTGAAATGAGCTCAAATCTGAAATCTGATATCTGTTCTGGTCTCTCGTCGCGATCCGGCTCGGGCGGGATCCGTCCCCGTCGGGTCGGGTCGTGACAATCTTTCACTCCCTCCCACACCCTCCGTCACCTGTTGTCTAGCTCGCGCTGGCCCAATCCTGCATGCGGTCGTTCTCCACTTGCGTGTCGTGATCTCGCACCTATCGTTTTTTTGTTGGGTCATGTCAACCTGGTAACTTGGCATGTCTAGTCTAGGTCCAAATTTCTGACATGTTTGTCTAATTGGGCCGAGTTTGAGTTTGATCAATTTAAGTCAAATCCGTTTAGGATTCAACACAAACCCGACCCAAAAAATCATTTGGACGCCTCTGTTCTAAAGTTTGACTAATTTCTTTGCATCTTCTTATTATCTGAAATCATAAATAATAATATTTATATGGTAAATGCGTGATTAAAGATTTAATATGGTTAAAAGTAAAAAAAGTTTTCTTAGATTATATCTTTACTGTTTAGAATGTCTAAAATTTTAATTATTTAAAGTTTAGGATGAAATATGAGAAATGTATTAGGAAAAAAAAATTACATAAATATTTGAAAATTTTTGGATTTGAATTAAATTTTTTTAAAAATAACTATACAATTTCGGATTTCCTAGTAAAAAAACTTGATATTTATTTTTATAAATAATTGAAAATTTTGGATTTTAATTTAAAAATTCCTATATCTAGTTTTAAATAAATTTAACAAAAATTATTTATATATTATACAAAATTTAAAATTCATCATAATTATTTTTTAAGCAACACATCTTAACATTATTTTTTTTTCTAAATAATTACAGCTGGTCGAACGAGAAGGCTAATTTTTAGGAAGGAGCACACAATTAGTAAGATTTAGCGGGGGGTACAAAATTTTAGGAGCGAAGATGCTGAAAGACACAGCGTGTTGGTTGAATGCATTAGAAGTTTCAGCGCATTGAAGAATACGTCGAAATATGCGACGTATTTTTCATGATCTCAAAATGTTCTGTTTCGACAACTTGAATGTGTTCAGTAGGTCTGCGCATTCTATAGAATGCACTAATATGTTTGGCGCATTTTTGGAATGCATTGAACTGTCTGGTGCATTCATAGAATGCACAAATATGATTGGTGCATTCTTTTAATACGCGAATTATATGGTGAATTTGCTCTTTCTTATATTTCATCAAGTTCGTGCTCTTCTAGCTAAACCTGCCATGCCAAGTGCTCCTTTTAAAAAATTGGCTGACCCATCGAGACTTAGGCTTCGTTTGGGACGGCTTTCTTTCTGCTTCTTAAAGCAGCTGTCTAGTACAAAGATTTTAATTTTTGTACTGAAAAGTTGTTTTAAGAAGCAGTAAGAAAGTCGTCAGAAACAAAACCTTAGTCTGGTTGGAGGGTGAGCACAGTTAGGAACTCTCAATACTAGGTTCGAATCTCTTCTACTACGGCCTCACCTCTTCAGCGGAGCAAAATAAGTGTGGGCCCAATGCCGATGAATGGGCTCCCTAAGTTTCGCCAATAAATCAGTTACGCTATCTAACACTCTTTTGAAGTGACACGAGGTAAATACCTGCTAAAAAAAAAGCCCCTCAACCCAACTCATCCGGTAAAACGCGACGACTAGCCACCGTTTACTGGCTACGAGCCGGTCAGTCGTCGGCCAGCCGGTCGTCCTTACCTGCTTCCCGAACGTAAGACTCGGAGGCCGAACCTGAAAGCCAAGATAGGCTCTTCCTCTCCTATAAATAGAGGAGGGCTCCCTACCCACAGGCGCAGCTCAGGCGCTATCGTTCGGCACAAGATTTCCAGTACGGCGTAGATATTCCTTGAGAAAATTTCGAGGTAAACAGATTACTTTGCCTTTCCCTGTCGACTGTAATTGACGCATATATCTATTGGACAGATGCTATTGGTTGATCTGGACGATATGATCGTTTTTTTACTCTCGATTAGGTAAAAAATTTTTTGCTCGATCGGCTTAAGGATTAATTTCTTCGTGATGGATCGTGGCAGATCTTTATTTTTTGTATGGATCTATGGTCCTGCGCATCGATTTGGTTGAAATTATTAAGGATCTGCGTTATTTTGCTGGAGTTATGCAGATCTAAATGATCCGACCGGCCTTTTCGCGAAATTAGTAGATCGTCTGAGTAGATCGTACGATGGAGATGATTGGGCGTTTGTTGAGTTTCTATGATCTTAAACTGTTGGAAAAATTACTTGATTTCAATTTTGAGGGTTTTTACTACTTTGGATGTGACTTGAAATGGAGTGATCTGATATTTCCAGCGTTCGATTTTGGTAGATTCTGGAATTTTGTGATGAACTGATTTCAGTATGTATTATTAAACCGATTTCTGTTTTTACATGTTTTAGGATATGAAGGGTTTCTGTGGCTGGGTAATTCGTTTTGTTCTGAGATGATCAGGCATAGGAAGTGGGCGAGTTTAATATCCTATTTTTTTTTGGGTAGCGACTCGATAAATATGAGCTTTATGTGTTTTTTTTCTCTTCAGTGCTGTTATGGTGCGATACTCTTTTGTTGTTGAGTCGACTTCTAGTAGAAGCATTTGACTTCATACATGGATAGAAGTAGGTATTGAATCGGAATTGATGGTCCCAACGGCACAATTAGGCTCGGTCCTCCTCGTCCTCCATGTATTATATATCTTTGCCTCGTTTGTCTGAACTTTAATTTTAATATTTTTCTTTCTTAAAATCTATTTTTTTGGGCGTACTATTATGTCTGATCTGCGATGTTGATGATTCAGATATTAAACTTTTTTTTTTTTTTGGTTATGTTGTATTTGTTTTCCATCTATATTTTGAGTTGCCGTCGTTGTATCAAGAACTTAGGGCTCTGTGCGTCAATTCACAAGTTATCGATTTGTGGGTGGGATATAGATTTCACGGGGCAACTTTCTGAACTAGGCGTAATTGTTATCTGCGATATGGTTGTTTGTATTGGAAGAGCTAGATTGCTTCTTAATCACCTTAAGAGGTTGTAGTCGGTCTTCTCACCCTCAAAATTGAGTTTTACTTATAAGGGAGGGCAATTTCAAAAATTTGTCCCCTTTAAATAAGTTTTTTTGCCCTATCTTGAAGAGTTTTGCCTGCATCCAATCCAGAATCAATTCGTGGAAGCCCAATCACTAATTGTTTCTTTTAGACTACTACTGCATGGACTCCACCTCCCATGTGACCCACTAAAAGCCCCCCGTCACATGTGCTTCTTTGAAGGCCTACCACCAGTTTTGTTCACCTTCAAAAGTAAAGTTGGTTCCGCCATGAGTCTTCTGCATCATTCCCTTGATTTTTAAGATTGTTATGTTGACTATTATTTGCTAATGGCTTCTATTTCTTTGATTTGGATATGCTCTAGTAGAATTCTATTTTCATTAAGAGAAATTCACAAATTCTGAGTGACATTCTGAAGAAATTATGTTGCTTGTTAACTTTTCAGAACGGAGTGAAGTGAGATGAGCACCATGGCAGTTGCATCAAGAGTAGCAAGGTCTTCCCTAAATCCAAATGCCCCACTTTTCATCCCTGCAGCATTTCAGCGTGTGGAGGACTTCTCGCCTGAGTGGTGGGAATTGGTGAAGACCAATTCATGGTTCCGCGATCACTGGTTCCGTCAGCACCAGGAGCAAGAAACTTTCGATGGCGATGATGAAGAAGATGACATTGCCAATCTGCTTCCAGACTCATTTGATCTTGGCATTGCAGAAGAATTCTCCCATTTTGAAGCAGAGCTTGAGGAGCAGGAAGCTTTCATGGAGGCGGCTGAAGTTGAAAACGAGCTGGGTCGTACTACACTGAAGAAGAATGTCAAGTCTGGTAAGCAGCTCCGTCAAGCCTTCTTCAATCATTTTTCATTTTTGTTTCTAGTAGAACTTTAAACTGATTGATTTGCAGGTTTTGAGGACACTGAAGCACTCATCAGGAACCTAAGCTTGAAATCTCCCAAGAGTGGAGTTGTTAAGCCTGTCGTGGATCCAACAAGGTATAAGGATAAGCCTGCCCAGGTTACAAACCCCAGGTTCAGCCCTCGCCGCATCATTCAGCAACCTCGTTAGAATACTTCTTTGTTGGGAAGTAGAAGCGCTCTATCAAGGCCTAAAAAAGCTTTCTCTTTGAATGTGTAGTGGTGTAATTTCCTTGTATAGAAAGCCAGATCATGCATCTTTTAAGTTTCTTCTAGTCAATGAATGTTGTTTGTTCAGCAAACTACCTTCGTAACTTGGGTGCAATGGAAGACATGCTTGAAAAAAAAGTTTGTAGTTAACTACATGGATCATAGATGCCTAGTTCTTCTTATCTGCAATTCTCTACTTCAAGAAATTTTTAGCTGCTTGTGGCTTATTAAGAGGTTGAACAGCTAATAATTTGCTCGTCTTAACCAGCACCTTATAATTTTATCTCTGCATGTCTTATGAGAAATTATTTTGTGTAGACTCCGAACGCAATTCATCGTCCGGAGACCAGTCAGAATGTGTCATACCGAGCATGGTATCGAGTGCGGTACCAAGCAGGGGTGATGTGACATATTTTAGTTAGTCTCTATACAATATTCAGCGTCCGCACAGAAGCAAAGAATAATTTGCTGTCTTAAAGGCTATTCGGGTGCAGCTAATATCAATGGCCTCAAAGTATTTTTGGGGCAATTGAAATGCTTTCATCATGAAATTCTTAGAACACTTAAATTTTTATATCTGTTTATAACATTTAAAAGTTTTTGTATGAAATTGCATTAGCCTTCTTTTTTAATTTCAACTAATTTGTTATATGCTTTTTCCAAAATTATTAATGATATGCAAGAATCATATTTGCAGTGTTTTGGATTTTACTCCTAATTTAGTTAGAAATAGTAACGGTGACACTTATTTTGTATATTTTGATATTAAAAATTGGAATTTTGATATTGACAATGGTAGTTCTTCTTTGCGTGATTCCTAGTTATTTAAATAATAGATATAATGGTAGTAATTACTAATTACTACTATTATTATACTATGTATGATAATCAATCTAATTGAATAATCACACTAATAGTTGCATTAATAGTTATCTTCGTTTTGAAATCATTCTTAAGAGTGACATTTAAAGTGGTATCGACAGTTACATTTCTAGTTTTATTTGTATGAAAAGTTTAAGCAGTATTGAAAACAAAAAATTCTAGCATCAAAACTAGTATCAATTATTTCAACATAAGATAAAAGATTTAATGATTTCAATATAAATACAAAATGCAAGCATTTATTGGGTTCAATGTGAGAATTGTTATGCATTAAATTAAAAAAAAAAAGTTAAAAATTGAATATTTGTGCACGCTGCCGATATCATTTGAAAATGAGTCGTTCATATAGAATTGAACTCTTTATTGATCTCGACACTTGGGGAGTCTACGGGTAAAGATATGATCTCTACCCATTGAATTTCACTTAGAGGAGGAACTTATATAGATCCCATCTCTTTTTATCAAAAGAAAAACAAGTTTAACTAGAGCTATTCAAAATGAGCGTATGATCGAGTTGCGGCTCATTAGTTGAAGGAAGAACTTCCTGTCCGCTGATCCGCGCTCGAATCCCCACCTGCCCGCAATAAAAAAAGTTGTACTCAAAATTCATAATTGGCTCCAACATGAAGTTAATCAAGAAATCTGCCTTTCCTTGACTCCTACATAAATGATAATAACTGATTAATCTCTATGATAATTAAGTTTTTATTGTTTAACTACAACAAAGATGTCATTGTTTATCAATTCATTAAGGATGGTGCTTGGTACTTCCCTCATACTTTCAATGCCACTGATAACTTACACACAACACATCTTTATGCCTCTTCCTACAGAGAGTTAACAGATTTCTTATAAAAGTATCTACTCTTTGCTTTTTTTTTTTTTCTAACTCTCTTTGGGTTTGTTAGATCAATCAAATTTGCTTTGTTTACTAGAAAAGTTGTTATTAGAGGGTTTAATCCCTATAGAATATATTCAATGGGAAAATCTGATTTGCTATTAGACATAAAAGCAGAAAATGGAAGTATAAAGATGAACTTCTTGATTTGATTTACAAGCTCAGCTTCAAATGACTTTTTCTCCATCTCTCTTATCCTTTTTTGTTCTCTAGTTTCGCTATGTGAATGTTGCGATGCTACTTTCTGGTTTGCGAAAAATTATTCTGTGGCGCGCTCTGATTTTGTGTCCGCACAAAATTATGTCTCCTGATTTACGGCCTATTCTTCAGAAGTTGGCAGTTTTTGTCATTTTTGGTCTTGTTTAGAAGAATTGTGAGTAACCTTAGCATTGGATATGGGCATCTTCCAAATGAAAGGAAAATTTTTGTTTGCATTTCCTGTAATTAACCAAACACTAATAAAGTTGGAATGCTTGGGAAAACAAACTTGCAAAACACTCCAGTATTTCTAGCCAATCAGCCCCTTAGTGTCTTTCCATTTGCCCTGTTCTACACGCAAAGGCTATGGCCACTTAAATAATAATGCTGAGTTGGAAATCCATCAGCTCATAATCATACATCGAATAGGAGCTGATTTAGATGGTAAACTTTGATGGTAGGCCATTGTGATATAAAAAAAGAGTGGATTCTGATTCTCTTCAATTATTTTGATAATTACAGTACTGAATTACTTACTCTGCCCTGCAAATCTAACTTGGACAGCTGGGAGCCATATAATCTAATCTGAATAGTTTCTATCAGAACCAAGGGAAGGTTTTCAAAGTGAAATTACACAGCTAAAATGGTCACTGATAGGAGAGATTATTGTGCGGACGTGAAACGCAGCTCTATATTCAGATATCAATCAGAATGAGCCACGTCATTTATACCGAGCAGTGGGCTTAAGCATCAGGATGGGTTCCTCTTCCGCACAAAATAATTGTTCCACTGATATGCCGGTTAAGGTACAGTTTACAATCATGGTAATTAGAGCGGATATAATTCTAAATAGGTTGTTGGGAGCATAGGTTAGAGGTGTAGGCTCGAGCTTCCTTTGGGACGGCTTTTTTACTGCTTTTCTGAACAAGCTCTTTAGTACAAAGTTTTTAATTTAAAATTTTTTTTACTAAAAAATTATTTTAGAAAGTTATATTATATATTATATTGTCTACTGAAGCATTCTCATTTTGAATATGTCAAAACAAAGCTTAAAGTTGTTGCTAACTGCAAACCTTTTATCATACAAAGTTGTTTACAATAGAACTTGTTTAGTTGTTTCCCAAAAAAAAAAAAACTTGTTTAGTTGCAGTACAGAGACAGGCAGCTTTTTTTTCTTTTTAAATGCACGAGCTATTAACTGAAATAAAGAACACAAACCAAGTTTTTAAATAATTAATAGAAGAACTCAAAGCATGCCAATACCCCATCGGGCTTTGCTGGGCTGGTGGGCGAGCATGGTTGAGCGTGAATGGGAACCTCCCAACCGACATTCGTTTCCTCTCTCAAGCACTGTGACTCCTTAGGTGGGAAGAAAATAAGTGCGTGGTCTGACACCTATGGGGTTGGTTGCCGTTATGCCCGCCGAACGATTAGTTACTCAGCCAAACGCCTTCTCTACGGGGGTGGCAGCGGGTAGATATCCCCGTTCTGAAAAAAAAAAAAACAATCAAGAGAGAGAGAGAGAGAGAGAGAGAGAGAGAGAGAGAGAGAGGATAGTTAACTTCAAATACTGATAAGCCCAGCATCACAAGCAGGATACTTAGGATGCACTTGAAGAAGACACTCCTACTTCAATGCCAATTTGAATCTGTTATATAAGCATCAATTGAGTAATCATAGGGGAAATAGACAGCCTGATTCAAATTTGATATAACAAATATATTATTTGATTAAGATATTAATTTTTATATCCTACTTATCTTAAAACAAATCCAATGATTAAAATCTTATTCTGATTCAATTATTTTATTCAAATGCTTTCAAAAAATTGAAGGCAAATAGTAAAGCTTTTGATTCATTGCTAAGCCTTCTTATAAGGAGAATGTGGTGGCAGTCTTATACAACTGATACAAATCTTCCACTAACTGAGTATTAATAAAAATGTCTTAGTAATCACATCAATGCATGCGTTTGGATTAGATAAAGGGATATAAAGGCCTTCGCATTATGGAAAGCTTCTTTTCAAACTTAAGCATTTCAAAGAGAAAAGGATCATAATTAATCTCAGCAGCAACATTAACTTCATTGAAGCACCTATAGAATTAATTACTCTTAAGACAATGAAAATTAAGAAAATTGATTAAGATTTCGCTTGGGACGACTTTCTTAATGTAACTTAAAGTAGTAAAAAAGTTCTCCCAAACACAACCTAATAAAGCATCATGAAACTTCAGATCTTTCATCATTATGACTAAATATTCTCCTCAACCAATTTAATTTGCATGATATATATTATCTCTTTGTTATTGCTATGAAATCTAGGGGAAGAAAATAATTTGGCTAAGGGGTTATTTGATTTTATGAAAAAAGGAATGCAAAGTATTCAAAATATAAAGGATTTAAAAATTTTGTCGTTTAGTTTGGTGTGTAGAATAACTTTTTTTTACTATGTAGTTTATTTTTTATATATATTCTAAACTTGTCTATTTTTTATCGAATTATAAAATACATGCAAGCTAACTTCGCCAGCCAATCCACCACCCAGACTACTCGTCATCTCCCACTGCCTATAGTGGCTGCTAGCACTCACAGTCGACCACTGCTAATGGTTCACCACTTACTGCTGCCACACATCATCACTTGTATTCATCGTAAACATTTGCTGGGTGTTGTCATTTCCTCCCTTTCACATGTCGTTACGGCCATCTACATTACACTACATTCATTTAATTTTAACACAGATAAAAAAAGTAATCACTTACATCTATTTTACACTATTCTAAACAACTTCAAATATGTCAAATACAATACATTCTTTACTCTAATATTCCTTTTTCAGCAAATCATATAGCCCTTAAGATGCATGATTTGGTTCGAAATGACTCAAATAAATAAAACTAAATGCATTTTTCACCCAATAATAATAGCCTTTTAAGAAAATCTAAGAAGGGAGATATAGGCAAAAAAAGAATTCAAAATGAAACACAAATACAGTCAAAACTAAATAGTAAAACAAATAAACATTTAGCTACAGTGTTCCCGCAAATATGCAATTCTCCAACCAAGAAGATAATATATAATGTCTAACGAAAAATTTAACAATCAAAATTAAACCCAAAAATCTATTCCCACAAGAACTCAAACTGCATCACAAAAAAACTAAGAAATGAAAATACGAGTATTTCAACTGACTAAGGCTTCATTTAAGACAATTTTTTTTCTATTTTTAAAATAATTTTTTTGTTAAAAAACTCTTAACTCATTAGCATCATATAAGACTCATCAAAGTCATCATGAACTCACTTAAACTACAGTGAAATCGCCAAAATTCCAGCGATTTTATCACAATTACGACAAACTTGACTCGAGAAGCCGACTAGAGGAATTTGTTCATGGACGCTCAAGCAAAGTTCACCCAACTTTGGAAAAATTATTCTGTGTGGTCACGAACGGCATCCAAAGGCAAATGAGAACGCGCCACATCATTTTTTTTGTTGTGTACCTCTAGGCACCGGTGACGTGGTACAAAATTATTCTCACTTGTCAATAATATGGTGTTGATGGCGCATGAAAAGAATATCAATTATTTTGTCCAATACAAAGTGGTGCTTCCTTTCTTTTATCGAAGGCATTTTTCCCTACAATATTTACCAGAAATTCAATACTTCTGACATATAAAACTACTAATAATCATGAAAATTATTTGACAACACATACAGGAAAAAACAACAACATGGTTCTTAAGAATTTCTTAAAAGCTAGAAGGGCATCTCATACAGTAGGAAAGCTGCTTTCTAAAAAGTACTTTCCAATGGCAAGAAACTTTCTTCTTCCCCACTAGCGATTTTGATAGCAGTTTTTGGCTTATTGCTTTAGATAAAGCGAGGAGAAAGTAATGTACCAAACACTAATAAAGGTGTCTTCTGCAATCTAATATTCAATATATGCTGCAGATTAAACAAATAAAGATATTTTCTACTATCTAATATTCAATAATATGCTGTTTCTATCATCTTTTTAATATAATTATTTTTAGTATATCATTCCTTATTTTGCCACATGTCTATTTTAAACGTTTTTATTCAATGATGCTCAATTTAATTATTGATAACTTTTTGACTATCCAACATGATATTCATTTAGTATTATCACTACAAAAAAAACAGGGCCATTGCGGCACAAAAAATAATCTTTTTTGATGGTTTTAACCGCAACAAATTTTCTTGCAGTGGTGTGAAAATTGCTGTAAGACCTCCGTGATAGCAATGTGCTGCAATGATATTTCACATCGGTTTTCAGATTGCTGGGGTGAATTGCAAGAAGTGCTGGTTATGGCAACGATTTTAACCACCACAAAACTATAAATTTGCAGCTAGAATGACTGTTACTATAGGCTGATAATGATCTTATTTACAAATTTTTGGTGGTTTTAACAGCTACAATGAATTGCTGCGAAAAACTAATTTTTTTGGTCGTATATGAGTCTAATTGTAGTTTTAAAAAAAATAAATTTTCATGCTGATTTTTAAAACAACTTTTAAGTATAAAAATTCCTTAAAAATAACGAAAAAATAATGGCCATATGCTATCCCAAAAGAAACCTTAGTTAAAAGAAAATAGCTTTCCATCATAAAAAACTTCAGAAAAGTAATGTGATAATAGTATAAAGATAACTTTTTAAAGCTATTTTAGAAAATAACTTTTTAGTATAAAGATTTTTTAAAAGCAATGAAAAAGTAGTAGCCAAATAAAAATTATGACTACAGTCTGAAAAATAAAGTAGTAAGCTGTGGGCATCGAAGTCGGGTGGAGATCGCAGATGCGGGTTGGATGTTGAAGCCGATCGTTAGGGTAGACAGGATCGGCCAGGTAGGCGAGGCTTCGGTTTCCTGTTCAGTTCCAAGAGATTGAGAGCAATTCACATTTTCAACTTGAAGTTGGATTGTCTCCCTTACATTTTATATTAAATATTTAATAAGTTTACATTGCCAGATTATAATCCCTATAGTTTGGGTTGTCCTTTATAACAAACAGATATAATTGGATACACTGTAATGTTTGCAATCAAAAGCTCAACCAGGAAGGCATTCTTCCCTATACATTGAGCTCATTGTGACGTGAAGTTCAACAAGTCAAAAGAGTGATCATCAAATTTCTACTACTCTTCTCAAATACATAGAATACAGAAAGACAATTCAATCCTCTCTTTGCGTTATAGATTGATTACAATACTAAACTTCAATAACTTTACACTTAAACATATATGGATGATCATTCTCCTTCCTACTTTGGGAAAATAATCGGAAAAACCGGCGTTTTCTGAGGATAAAACAGTCCCCAATGCTGCTCAACCCCAGCAGGCTTCTGATTTTCATTAAACATAGCAAATATGTAAGTCTCCAACGAGCCTGGCCTCTTTGGAGTCCCCTGACCAACATGTTTGATTAATTTCGTTATGTATGTTTGCGCATTATCGATCGTCGTCGCCGTCCCGCCATCTGATGGCCATCCAGTCTCTGAAACAACAATCCCAACTTCATGACCGCCAATATTTTCCATTGCATAATACACAGAATCAACAATTGCATCGAACATGTTGCTGTAATTGAACTGAACATCAATCACAACTGGTTCCGAGGCAGCGAACAAAGCATAATCCAGGCGAATATTCGCCGGATCGCCGGCATAAGCAAAATATGCATACACGTTCACAAGAAGAAGAGCTCCATTGTTTGCAAAGAACTGCAATATTGGTCCCATGAAAGGCTATGAAGCAGAAGAGAAAGCACCAGCTGAAGGAGGATAAGAAACACCAAGAACTGCCTGTGAGACTGAAGTAGTCACTTTTATCTTATTCTGAAGGCCAGCTGATGATAATGCATTCTGAATGTTTGTCATGGCAGGGAGAACAAACTGTGATAGAGGCCCAGGGATAACTTCGTTGCCGACGGCTATGCATCGAAAATCGATATCTTAAAATGCGATAATGTTCGATTGGATCCAGGCTTTGGCTGCATTTGTATCTGATGCAAATGGTTGCAGAAGTTCATTAGGTAGATCAAGCAAGACTGAAATATTTACCACAGATTGAAAATCGTACTTCCATATTAATTTTTGTTTTAATAGTTTATAAGGAGTTTTTCCCTTTTAGTAGATTATATGGTCACATTTTTAGTCGAATTAATAATTTTTTTGTTCTAATAATATTAAACGTTTATTAATTTAATTAAATAGAAAATTTTGTATGGTTGATATTTAAATCTAAGATATTTACATAGCTAGCATCTAATATTTTCTATTTATTAATCTAACACTCAATTTTTTGAAACAATACAAAAAATACTAATCATGCATATTCTGCAAATAAATTAGCGTTATATTTGTAAATATCATTTAAATACATCATTTAAGAAAATTTATTTTGAAAGTATCAAATTTTTATTACAAAAGAACTCATTCATTCTGAATTTAAGAGTTAAATTCTCATTTAAATCTAACAAAAAATATAATTTATAATATAAAGATGTTAAAAAAATAAAATAAAAAAACCAAAGAGCCATCTTGCCTGAAAGTAGGGTAATATAGTAATGAAATAACAATCACAAGCATGAAATTTATTTTATAATATTATGAAATATATTTACATAAGTTCTTTAAATTTTTTTCGAGGAAAATTATTTTAGAAGTCGTTTGGATTATTGAAACAATATTACAAGAGTAAAATGAAATGCAATATAAAAAATATATAATGTATTTAAAAATTTTGAAATATTTAAAATTGTTTGAATATATAAAATAAATAGATATGATTTTTTTTATTTACTTTAAATAAAATGAATGTGATAAAAAGATCAAAAATATTAGTTGCCAGAAAAAACCAACAGTCTGCATGTGGCTATAGTGGATGGGCAATGGCGGGGGCAGCTAATGGCAGGCTGCTCTCGTGGAAATATTACTTTGTGCGGACACTGGATGACATCGAAGATCAATCATAACGAGCCACGTTACTTTTTTACTCGACATCAGTATTAGGGTACCGCTCGGCATTGAGTGACGTGATGCGTTCTAATTAGTCTCCGGACTGTCCGGTGTCCGCACAGAATAATATCTCGCCCCAGGGATGTTCAGCAATGGTTTGCGGCAACCAGACCAAAAATCAACACCAATATTTTTAAAATTCTTCTACACTACTTTTGCTGCAAATAAAACAGTCCCTTAGAAAGAAAATAACCCAACTTGCATTCCTAACAACTATACATGCAACAGAATGTATCAACCGCTTGCAAGGATCATCAATTTCAATCTTTGAGATCTTGGAGTTTAATCCCCATACATATAGAGGAAAAGTTAGTAAATTTTATAAAATATTAAATGTTCTACTAAACTTAAAAACCGTATATATAAATTCTCAAACCTGATAGTGCAAGAAGAAAATGAGCAGACAAAGTTCAAAATATAAAATAATTTTATCATAGAAACTAAAATAAAACAGTTAGTCATGCTTGAATTCTCATTTAAATCTAATAAAAAAATATCATTTATAATATAAAAATGTAAAAAAAAAAAAAATCTAAGAGCCGTCTTGCCTGAAAGTAGGGTAATATAGTAATGAAATAACAATTACAAGCATGAAATTTATTATAATATTATGAAATATATTTACATAAGTTTTTTAAAATTCGTTTGGATTATTGAAAAAAGATTACAAGAGTAATTTAAAATGATATATAAAAAATATATAATATTTTTGAAATATTTAAAATTGTTAGAATGTATACAATAAATACAGATGTTTTTTTTTTCTTTGAATAAAATAAATGTTATGTAAAGCTCAAAAATAGTAGTTATAAAAAAAACCAACAGGCTGCAAGTAGCTACAGTGGATAGGCAATGGCGGCGATAGCTAATGGCGGGTTGCTCTCATTGAATAATTATTCTATGCGGACCCGGTTGGCGTCCGGAGACCAATCAAAATGCGCCACATCACTTTTTTGCTCGATACCGATGCTTGATATCGCTCAGTACCGAGTGACATGGCGCATTCTAATTAGCCTCCAGACCCTGTCCAGGGTCCATACAAAATAATTTCTCACTCCCGTGACGGGTAGCAATGGTGTACGGCAACCAAACCAAAAATCAAACACCAATATTTTTAATATCTCTATATTTAAAATTCTTCTACACCTCTTTTGTTGCAAATCAAAGTCTCTTAGAAAGAACTTAACACAACTTGCATTCCTCATAAATTTCAATCTTTGAGATCTTCGAGTTTAATCCCCATACACAGAGACGCAGAGTTGGTAAATTTTAAAATATTAAATGTTCGACTAAACTTAAAAGCCACATATATAAATTCTCAAACCTCATAGTCTGCAAGAAGAAAATGAGCAGACAAAGTTCAAAATATAAAATTTAAAATAATTTTATCTTAGAAACCAAAATAAAATAGTTAATCATGCTTGATATGTTCAACTAGTTACAAATTTTACTGTTTTCATTCCAATTCTTAAATGAATAAGAAATAAACATTTTATATTGATTCTGTGTTTTCTTGGTGCACAACACATAAGACTGCAAACGAATCGAGCTGAGCCGAATATGGGCTCATTCATGTTTAAGCTCACTTATTATCAACTTTTTCGAGTTTGATTCGAGTTTGATTCGAACTTTTTTGTTTATGTTTAAGCTCGATTCATTTAAATTAATGGGTGTTCATATTTGATTCATAAACATAAATGAATCGAGCACCAATGAAAATTACAGATGATGCATATTGCTCCAACAAAAACAACAAAACAAGCTTAGTGTTGGCGACTTCAACAAAATGGAGATGCGTTGGGCTCAGAGTGAGGGCCATTTGAAGCATCTGCAACTCTCTTTCCACAGAGTCCATACGTTACTAACAATCCAAAAACAGTATAAAACAGGAAACAAAACTGATGATCAAATATTTAATCGAGAGATCTGAAACCAAATTTCCAAAAATCAAGCAATTCATAAACCTGTGATGGCTAGTTTTCCTTCCATTTCATCTTCCTGATTTTATAGGAAATTTGCATATTAACTTCAACAGCATAGACTTTATTGTAGGAAATTGATTCTCAACCACAACAACAACATCAAGCCTATGTGGGGTCAGTTACATGGATCATTTTTCTCCATTATGACCTGTTAAAAGTTAAATTCTCATCTAAATCTAATAAAGAAAGGTCATTTCTAATATTTTCTAATCAAGTCTTTTTAGGCCTACCTCTAACATTCTTAATATAATTCAAATCTAATATATCTACTTTCCTAACTAGGTCATCGGAAGGCCACCGTTTTATGTGACCAAACCATCTAAAGAGACTCTCTAATCTTATCTTCCATTGGAGCTATTCCAACCTTTTCACGTATATGCTCATTTCGTATCTTGTCTTTAAGACTGAAGCCACTCATCCACCTGAGCATCCTCATATCTGCAATACTAATTTAATATTATGCTTCTCTTTTAATTGCCAACATTCTGCACCATAAAGCATTACAGGTCTAACCGTAATCTTATAGAATTTTCCCTTGCCAATATTATGATTCTCAACAAAAAAATTATCTAAAAAATAAGAAAAAAATAAAAAACATGACAACAATTTAAAAGGAAAAAAAATATAAAAAGGTGCCACATAAAGTTGGTGCCCATCTTGCTCAAGCATTCCTTTAATGCAGATTCTTCAAAGCAATGGCTTCTAACAGAACGCATCCTGCCACAATAACTTCCAAACGACAAGACAGTGAAGCACCATAGATTACTTAACATTGGGGTGGCAATTATCAAATGGAGAATACCAAAATATGATTCAGGAAAAAAGCTAATGTCATTCAATTATATAACTCAAACTTGAAACAATTTGTCTCACCATTGATCATTAGTAGCGTGAAGCTGGAACTCGGTAAAAGAGCATTCAAAGATGACTGCTCTGTTGAGAATAAGGTTTCGTTTGGGACGGCTTTCTTACTGTTTCTAAAAGCTGCTTTTTTGTACAAATATAAAAGCTGTTTTTAGAAACAGTAAGAAAGCCGTCTCAAATGAAACCAAAGATGTGCAGCAAGGCTTATTGTAGGAGAGAAGATGCGAAAAATGGGATGGCGGCTTTAGAAAAAGGAATAGTTGTGCTACCCTGAAATAATTAGGATGCTACTTCTGTGGTTTTGAAGCGTGGGTGATACTTCAGAAAAACTGGGTGTTTATTATGGTAATAAGCCAGAATTGGGTACAGTACCATACGAATCGATAGCCTTGTCATATTCTTTACTCAAAACAGAATTTGAAGAACCATTTCACAAATGAAAATGATTGCTTGATTCTCCATCTCCTAGAAAGCATGATCTAGTGAACACAAACACTGACCAATTTTTCCATTAATATAGAGCTTGACGAATGTTTCTATTATCAAGAAACAAATCTTACCGTATATCTTTTTTCCTTTCCGATGCTTCTCTTTATAGTAGAAAAAAAAATGGTACGAAGCTAGAATTAGGTTCTATACTGGTACAAAACCCTAAGAAGAAAACAGATAGCATTGCCCTGTCCTTCTTAGAAAAGAAATTGAAGGAATTAAAAAGTGGGATAAAGATGACAGCTTGATTCTCCATCTCTTAAAAGATTGATCAGCTACAGCATATAAGTACATCTTTCCATTGCTACAAAGCCTGACTAGTAATTTCATTATGTTCTTGCGCTCTACCGTTAACAAGAAAAAGAAAATCAAATTATGTAAAAATAGTTGAGTCACATTTACAGTGAAAGTAAAAAACTTTAATGCCCACTAAACCAAAAACTTCACATCGCACTACATGGTATGTACCAAGAGGCCCTCCCCACGATATGAGTATTTTAAACTATGGACATTTCAACTGCATGTGTGTGTGTGTGTAAGAACTATTCTTGAGTTGGGATCAAATAGAATTGAGATTGATTCATTAACAGAACTATGAGATGCAAATGAGTTCGTTTTGAACCATGACCATCAACCATTCAACAAGAATGCACCATTACATCAATACCCTGCCAAGATCTTACATTAATAAGAGCACTGGATGTCCTATTTGAGAAAACATCATTAATGTCTCTTTGAGATTTGCAGAGTAAAAATAGTGGAAGTGGAGCAAACAGAGATAAGTGTAAGAATACTTGGAGCCCGTAAAGTGGAATTCTAATAAGACCAATGCCATGAAAGTAGAAGATGTGCTAGCCATTTGAGAATTTTTCTCTTCTGATTTGATTTTATAGTATAAATGATGTGAAAGCCCAACATCGCTACATATAAACTGGAATGGGAATTAAGTATCTAATTTCTGCGTCAAAACATACTTCAAGGGCTTTAAGCTGAATAATTAGAATTTATACCAATTTTTTCACCTTGAGTTGGCTTAGAATCTTGATGCATCCGAATAAAATTGCAGGAATCAAATATTAGGACTGATTTTTGGATTATTTCTTCAATAATAATGAAAGATATAAGTAATCTACTATTCAAGAGATAGATTAGTTCTCCCACAAACTTTAGACATCGCTAGGAAACTCATAACAAACCTTAGAATAAACTTCAGCAAAATATAAGATCCAAACCCTAACCCCCCCCCCCCCCCCCAAACTTAAATAGCTCTAACACACAATTAAACCCTTTCTAAACAGCATAAATGCAATTAGAAAATCTTCCTAATGACTCCCTCTTGATTAGGAACATTCCTAAACAGCTCTTCATTGACTAAGAACCTTTCTAAATAGCTCCATCTTGATTAGGAACATTTCTAAATAGCTCCCCACTGATTAGGAACCTTCCTAAATATCTCTCTCTTGATTAAGAACATTTCTAAACAACTTCCCCTTGATTACATAGCGAATATTAACTCTCATGGGCCTCACAAGTGTATCAAATCTATTATTGATAGTTATGAATGGGGCAATGGGTTACTGAAATGGTGGACAATGCAGGAAATAAACAATTTAATTATGAACTAACATGATGGACATTGAGGCAGTTACTAGTTCAGAAATAGACTGAGCAATCGAAGAATAATACTTCCTTATATTCTAGGTCATGTAAAACAGAGGCCTTACCATGACCCTATCAAGATAGTAGATGTATTAGATTAGGCCGATGTTAAGAAAGTTAGAGATAGACCTAAAAAGACTTGGTTAGAAAATATTAAAAATGACATTTATTTACTAGATTTAAATGAGAATTCGACTCTTAATATGACACAATAGAGAAAAAAGATTCATTTAGCCAACCCCACGTAGTGGGATAAAGTCTTAATGTTGTTGTCGTTGTTGTATTCTAGGTCTAATAAAATCAAAACAATCTCAAAGGGTTGCTTTGGCAACAGCCTCAACTTCAAGGTCAATAATTACAATTACAAGGTCATTAACATCATCTCGTGAAATGACAACCAAGGATCAAGAAGAAGATTTTGAAGATGAAGGATTTTCTGCTGATAAGGGAAAAAAGAATTTGGTGTAGAAAGGCAGGAGGAACAGTGGTTGTCGAAAGACTTTTCTTTGATGAATCAAACGCATTAGATAAATATTTGGACATGAGACTGCTAATTAAATATTCTCTCATAGAAAAAAACATTTATTTATATTCTGGATCTAAAAAAAATAAAACAATCTCAAAGGGTTATTTCGGAAATGGCTTCAACTTTGAGGTCAATAATTACAATTACAAGGCCATCAAAATCAACATCTTCACCTGAAATGATAACCAGGATTAAGATAAACATGAATTTTAAGATGGTGGGTTTTCAGGCGATCTATATGATTAAGACAATGGGAAACAAGGATTTGGTGGAAAAAGGCAAGAGGAAGAACGGTGGTTGTCGTAAGACTTCTCTTTGGTGACTTAAAAGACTACTTATTGAATATTCTCTCATCTTTCACAAGTATTTACTTACTAGTGATATGATTTTCTTTAGTAAAGTGTTTGCTGAACAATTTTTCATGAATTTCGTCTGGACATCTCACAATCTAAATTTGTTTCAACTAACTCCATTGATTATTCATAATAATGAGCAGCAAACATCTTCGAATAACAATATTTAATCTGCTTACTGTAATAAAGAAAAACTTTATCGTATAAAGTTTGGAAATGAGAGAAGTAGCGTGCTGACTCCCAAATAGGGGTTGAAGATAAATGACTGATCCTTATTAACAATTTCAATTTAAAATAGTGTAAATCTTTTCATAATACTACTGTGCTATAATGATTAGATAAAACAACATTGAAGGATTAGGAAAAAAACGAGAAAACATGAAATGAAACATAGTCTGGAAAAGAAAGATTGATTGGCAAACAATGAAGTTGACATCTCATTTAGCACACAACAAAAACGAATAAAGAGAGATTCACAAAGCTATGATCCTAGTTGGGAAAAAAGGACTTGTTGGGATCGTAAAATTCATATTTGACCAAGCATTATTTCTAATGTGACGTATAGGTCTCAAGGTGTCCCGGTAGGAACAAATTGAAGCTTTTGACTTGATTCGATTGAAACCATTCACAGATGGGCTCAAAATGGCATAATCAACACACAGTAGAACTCTGGAACATTACGTCAAGTCAGTGAATGCTTGAACCAATCAACATAGGTCTCACTTAGACCTAAAATTTTCCCAACCAGTCCAAATCGGGACTAGCTTGGTTGAGTTAGGAGTCCTTTCTTGGGAGAAGAAATCTACCCAATTAATGTTCTTGTTTATGCTTCATTTTCTGACATTCTTATGTATTATATGAGTTAGTGCTCATGAGTCACCACATCATATTTAATCTTTTTAAAATTTTATTTTGTATGTAAAGGTATTTTGCTATTGATAAGAAAGGATGTGACAGAATTTTTGCATATTGATAAAGATAGGCATTCAAAAGATGTGATGGATTCACATAATTTTTAGATTTTTTTTATTGTTCAAAGTTATCATCATCCTGGTTTGAGTGCAAAGTAGATGTTTAATCAGGATGAAATGGATGAAGCTCTTGGTTAAGTTTCTGCTTTCCTGCAGTTAAAAATTGTTAGCTTTATGAATATGGCACCAAAGTCAGCCACAATACAGGGAGCACAGTCTCAAGAGGACCACCTTCAATGGCTCAAAGAACAATTGTGATCTGTCACATGTCCCCACTCACACCAAAGCCCTCTCATGCCATTCATAATCAAAACGAGATGCAATCAGCAAGGAGGAAAGCAAGGAAATAGTGCAAACTATGTTATTACCAGGGCACAAACTATGTTATTATCAGGGCACATAAACTGCTGACCTGCTGAGCTTATCAAGTGCATTTTTCATGTATATCCTTCCATCAGGCCATAATTAAAAACATGCAACTAGAAGTACAAAATTACAGCAACAGTCAAGAGAAATATCCTTAGCTTTGCAACAGATTAAAATTAGAATAAAAGCAGTGTAGAGTAACAACCCAAGCAAGCAGCTACATTTGTCATACGAGAAGGTACCTGAATGAAGCTGATTATGTTAAAACAGTGAGACCATTTGCACATGGCATGTATCTAATGGTCCCATTAAGTACCAGTAAATGAGTTGATCTATCTAGGTTGAAGTAATTCTGCCGCTTACAAGTTTGAGTACCAATCATTCTATTTCAATTGATTTGCTCTCAAAGGAGACTTCGGGGGCATTTAAGAGCAAGAAACATGTTCTGCTGATTCAGCCATCTTCTGCTCTTTTTCAAACAACTGGTTCTTTAACCGGTTAACAAGTTCCTCCGTCACATCACTATTTTCTGCCAAAAAACATTCAACTTCTTGTTTATGTTTAAAGAATTTTCGCTTAATCCAATACCCACCTCCTTTTCTTATTATTATTCCATGATCTAAAGCCATTGCTAAAATCTCAGCTTCACTCCGAAAACCCCTACCAAATTCTATCTCTAAATCAACCTTCTTCAAAGCAGGTGCCATTTTATTTTTAATGATCTCAATAGATATGCCAATGCCAGTAATCTGAAAAAAAAATTGTAGAGGCCATGAATAGCACAAATAAACTATCTTTACTAAAATATCTAAGGAAAGAGTACTGAAAAATTGAAATTAAGGAAAGAAATATGCTTGGGCCTAGCATCAATGATAGATATCGTATAGCTAATTACATCTTTAATAGTACTGGCTCTACTCAGCACAAATAGTCAAGTTGAGTATCTTTGATCAGATTTGTTGAATAATTTGAACATTAACATTTTTTTCAGAATAAATATAAATGAATGAATGTAAAGTGCGTAAACATGCTTGATGATTATTTTTTTGGTTAAAAGCTAATATCTAAAAGATAATCTCTTAAGAAATGTAGCAGAATTGAACCAAAGTTTTGTTACTATTTAAATTACCAATGTAAAAAAAGTAGTGTTGATGGTATTAGAAGTAATACGAGTAATAACTACAACACAGATGGAGGTTGTAAAAATATTAACTTTCAGTATAATATATTTTCGTAATCTAAAACCACCAAAGCTATAATAACCCAAATTCCATGTAAGATTATAAAAAAAAAACATTTGCTTAATTAAATTATCCCTGAATTGTTAACTTATATTAAAAATTCTAACAAATTTACTTTCCTAAAATTTTAACTTATAAATACTTTTAATTATGATTAACAATTAATTACTGGTAATAAATAGATTCTTGTTCTGTTAATTAATACTAATGGTTATTGTTAAAGAATTAAGTAATTAAAAGTTACTGTTAATATCAATAAATTATGATTAATGTTTAAACTGTTGTTAATTAAAGTATGTTAATTAGGCCTCTAATAGGATTCTCGTACTCCACTAGCACTAATATTATATTAGTTAATATATGCTTACACTCAGGCACTCCTAAACAGTGCATGCATAGGTTCAGATGGCGGGGAATGGATTAGCATTAGCATATAAGAGAAATCCTGTAATCTGCTATTCCATTAGTTCCTTCAAGCGGCAGTTAGCGAGAGAAGTCTTGTTGCATGGGAAGTGAAGGTGGAGAGGAGCACTAATTAAAGCCGAAGCAGTGATCGGGTGAAAGCGGTAGCCGTGAGGGATCTATAACGGTTTGTGGGAGCAGCTTCTACCAAGGAAGAAGTCTGTTTGTGGCTAAGCACTGTAACTCGGCAAGTGTTTATCCGAAGTGGAAGGGCTACAGTGGGTGAAGAGTGAATTTTCAGTGGAGGAGGAAGAAGAAGGAAATGAGGTAAGCAATTTGATTATATTAAATTGGTCTGATAGATTTCCAAAGATTAGTACAAATTTCTAAAGAAGACTATGCCCAAATGTACAAATTATTTGGTATATGAGGAGAGAAACTGGTTTTGAGGTAAATTGTTATGTTAGTATAAGTTGGTTTTATGAAATTTATTTGAGTAATAAATTGTGGAATTTATAGAATTAGATAGATGAATTGTAGGCAACTTACAATTGAAGAAGAATACGAGGTGGAGGATTTGAGGAGACCGCTCTTCAAGAAGGTAAGTGATGCAATTCTAATTAAACATGCAATTACTTACATTTATAAGCATAGAAATTAATTTTTAATTCCTTGAAGGAAAGAGGGACTTTAAGCTTATTCAATGTATTGAAAATGTGAATACATCCAAATTTTCATGTATGAATAACCACTTATATATTTAAATCATTGGAATTTTAAATAAGATTTAATATGTTTATTTAAAGGTTTTTCTAGTTGGTAATAATTTAGAAAGAAATCCAATTCTTTACAAATTGCATATACACTTTCTTTATGCAAACGGTATAACGGATATATTCTTATAAAAGAATGCAATCATACAAAACAAATATGAATTATTAATATTTGAAGTCTACTGAATATCAAATTAGGAAATGTTAGCTATGAAATTATATGATATATGCGTTATAGGTGGGGCAAAAGGGACCCCAGATATGATACCTGCATAGCATGTGGGGTAAAAGAGACCCCTAAAAAGACAAAAGAGACTTCTATGTAGTTCAATGATGATAATGTCAGGTTTACTGGACTCCATTGAACATTATTATGAAAGTTAACTATATGAGAATGATAGCAAAATCCTGAGAATACTAATTATGATATTTTGTAAAGACTTCAAATGAATTAAAGGATGATCATAAATATGATTTTTATGTTATTTTGTAAATATTTATGAGTTGACATAATTATGTTATTTATTGTATCTGGCATTTAATTTTTATTTAAATTGCACGACTTTATGAGCCTCATAACTAACCAGTTTTATACTGGTTATTATTACAGGGAAGGGCAAATATAAAGTTGAACTGAGTAGGCAAGTTATAGAATATTTAGGTTTCTATTTAATAGTGTTTGTGATGTCTTCTTCTAAGATATGTAAGCAATCTAAATCTGATGATGCATTCTATTTTTCTTAGTAGCTCTGTAAGTAGTTGTGTGATGTAATTGAGATTATTAGAAGCTTCCGTATATTCAGTACATGTATTTATCAGTGGATGTTTTTATATAAGTATGCAAATGATGAGAAATACTAGATTTAGAAAATGAATGTTATGTTCAATTATATGGCACTCTATGCTACTGGTAAGAGGTCTTGTGGGGTGGTACAAAAGCTGTGATAGCTAAGTAATCGCTAACTAATAACATATAAAAAGTGGAAAACCTCTTGGCTTTATGAGGCTGTTGCAAAAAAAACAAGGCCTAAAAAATTGTAATGAATTAGAAAGCACATTCCAAGAGAACTAAACAAGGTCCTGTAACACCCATTTGTATGATCGAACAGTTAAGTGTTGGGTGAATAACTAACAAAAACTTCATAATCTCTAGGACTTCAAAATGGGCCAAAATTAGTAAATAATGGAAGATTGGCAATATAAAAGTTGAAAATTGGATTGTAGCATACTTTATCACTAATTTCATTGCAGTAGAGATTACTTAACTCAAGCAATTAGCATCATAATGGAAATATGCTACTATTGCCGTGTTAAGATGAAATTATTAGCCTAACTTATTGCTATTATCAATGCAGAAAAAAGTATTTGAGTCTACAAAGATTATTTATGAAAAAATTTATAGTTTAGTGAGCATTGCAGGACGTACACTCTAGTATAACTAATTATTCAGCAGTTGGGAAGAATGACCTATTAATTGTTTGGCCGGACAATACATAGAAGAATCCATAAAGTTGCATCCGTATGTTTGATTAAAAAATCATTTCATAATTCCTTTCATACTAAATATCTCTAATTCAAAAGAATAATCCCCTTGCAATCGACTGTTTGGTCAGGTGAATATTAGATTATCCTTTTGGCCCTTCATCTCTATGGGCTCCGAAAATTCGACCCCGGCCTCCGCCCAATTGTTTGTTTTTTCTTTTTCGGGGGGAGTTTTAATGGATTAAGTTCCATGGTAAATTTTGGAAGGCAGTGGATTTGTAGATAAGACACTACCTAGAGATTTCGCCCTCATTTTTTGAGGACTTTATGATCTGAGTTCTAGTTTCCTATAGGTGCAAGCTCCTATAGTTAATTACCCCTCTCGATCACGAGAGAGAATTTCGATTAAGGCTAGTCGTCAATCAGATACATAGATAATACATGTTATATGGCATATAGTAGCAGCATGGGCATGATGTTTGGAAAGGTTGAAGATTTGATATTTAAAATTGAAAATTTCATCATCTTGCACTTAAAGCGGATGGTGGGGGAATTGATGATGGACCCGATCAGGATCCCATGGTTCCGTCGTCCCGGGCCATCGTGGTCCCTGGTCTACTTAGTCAAAGGAGGTAGTTGACCCAACCTGACAGAAGGATCCTTGTTGGCAGCCATGGGTTGCTTCGTCCAAGGGTACCTTGTAGACCTAGGATGGATGTTTGCCTAAGGGGATAAATTTGAATCCATCTTAGCTAACAGAGGGCTTTGTGCCCTATCGATCATATCCTGTTGATTCATATCTCAAGGATTTGATGCCACTAAGGAGCGTATTGGCTCTGGCCATAACCGGTATTTCTTAGTGCCATTTGGCGGCAAAACCACTCGATTCAGAGGGCCTCGGGTCATAACCGTTTATCATGCGGTGCCATTTGGCGGCGAAACCGCCGGTTAGAAGACACGTACCACGCCCTTATTGGCTGAAGATTATTTGAGAATAAATCCTAGTGATATTTTCAACCAGACATTAGCTCTATGTGAGCTTAAGTAAATTTTAATTTGTCCACCACGTCAAACTCTTGCGGAAGGTGAATGGATTTTGCATTAAGTGGTTAATGATTTGATTTTTTATTTTAAATATCTTGAATTTGGAATTTTTGGATTTTGGATGATCTTTAGGATTTCGGATTTTCAGGTACTTGAGTGGCATTTAAAAATATTTGTGAACCCCTCCGGTTGAGATTTTCATTCAATACGGCCATCATCGGGGTGTACGGGATCATTTCCATTTGAAAATATTTGTATTTTGTGGATGAACCTTGTCAACTCTGTCGAGCTGTCGACGGAGGATCGAGTTTTGTAGACATTATACCTTTATTAGTGAATTCTCATTATTATAGGCCTTGAAGGCCTAATATGAATGTATTAAAATAAATATACCGGTCGTCACAACCGTATATTTATTATAGGGTTCGAACCCTGTCGACTCCTATTAATCCACATAGAAGGATCGGGTTCGAACTTGAATTCACTTATTGACCCGTGCAGCATCCTTAAACATCACGTGTGTACTTATAACACGCTCGCCAAGGCCCATGCAGGCGTTTGATTGCATACCCCCTTTTGTGTACCTATGTGTATACAAATTACAGTTCACGTGTGGGGGTATTTTGAAATATTTGTAAACGTCTTCTGTCTGCTTGCAAGAATATTGCGGATCCGATGGCATGGCGTAGTAGCTTATGAATAGAGTTGTCTGCTGCTTTATACAGGTAGACTATCGTGCACTACTTATTACTTTCTGCATATGGATTCTGGTGCACTAACTAATCTCCTGCTTTGTACTTGTAGATG